TTCAATCTCCCTAAAAATTAAAAGAAAGTCGGACGGAAGTGAATGGGCTTTAACAAATGTGTATGACCCTAATTCCTACAAAGAAAGAGAAGCTTTCTGGGAGGAATTATGTGCCATCAGGGAATTGTGGGATGGCCCGTGGTGTGTGGGGGGTGATTTTAATGTCATCAGATATTCGGGGGGAATCAAACAACCCGAACCAGGGATTTACTACTAGTATGAGGAAATTCAATAGCCTAGTAGATTCTCTGGAATTAAGAGACCCCCCCCCTTGCTTCAGGTGGATTATACTTGGTCAAACTTTCAATCCCCCCCCCCCAACCTGCCCCAAACTAGACAGATTTCCTGAGTGGGAAGAAATGTGGGGATCCTTGATAGCAAGAGGCTTACCTAGAGTTACCTCAGACCATTGCCCTATTTGTATCGAGAAAGAAATCCCAGGGGGAGGCCCTTCTCCTTTCAGATTTGAGAATATGTGGTTTGAAGATCCTACATTTAAGGCTACCCAAATTCCTCTTATCTCCTTAGTGGAAAGAAATGTGGGGATCCTTGATAGCAAGAGGTTTTCCTAGAGTTACCTCAGACCATTGCCCTATTTGTATCGAGAAAGAAATCCCAGGGGGAGGCCCTTCTCTTTTTAGATTTGAGAACATGTGGTTTGAAGACCAGGCTAAAGGAGTGGTGGGAGGCACTCAGACCTTTGGGGAGGTTAAAAATGGTAGGTTTCTCCAGAAAACTGAAGAGGCTAAAAGAAAAAATAAAAGAATGGAATAACGCCCATTTCGGAAGGGTAGAGGAAATAAAAGATAACTTGGTGAAAAGGATTGAGGAGCTAGATAGGAAAGAGGCTCTCAAAATCATTTCAGAAGATGAAAGAGGGGAAAGATGGAATCAAAAGTAAAAACTAGAAGAGATAGTACAAAAGGAGGAGATTTGTTGGAGACAGAAATCAAGGTGCTAGTGGCTTGCAGAGGGGGATGGGAACACTAAGTTTTTTCACTCTCTTGCAATTGGAAGGAAAAAGAACTTAATCCTGAGTGTGGAGGAAGAGGGACAAGTGGTAAGAGAAAGTCAAGGGATTACAAGGATTTTTGTAAATCATTTTAAAGAAATTTTCTCAAGCCCACACAGAGTGTTGCCAGAATTGCTAGAGATGGAAGGGGCTGTTCTATCAGAAGAACAATCTCATGCCTTAGAAAGGAGATTTTCTCTGCAAGAAATCAAGGAAGCTATTTTTTCAATGGACAGATCTAAAGCCCCTGGGCCGGATGGCATCCCCATTGCCTTCTATCAAGAGTGTTGGGATATGGTGAAATCAAACATCCTGGAAGTCTTTAATGAATTTTTCTCCAAAGGGAGGTATCACCAAGAGCAAATGCCACATTTATCACTTTGATTCCAAAGAAGAGGGAGGCCAAAACTCCTAAAGACTTTAGACCAATAAGTCTCATTGGGAGTGTTTACAAAATTCTGTCAAGGGTTTTAGCAGAAAGACTAAAAAAGGTGTTACCCTCGATCATCTCTCCTTTTCAATGAGCTTTTGTAGAAGGAAAGAAGATTGTGGATCAAATCTTGGTGGCTAATGAATGCGTAGGGGAAAGAAGAAAGGGTAGAGAAAATGGGCTGGTTTGTAAGGTAGATATAGAAAAAGCCTATGACTTGGTTAATTGGGAAGTCCTAAAAGTTTTAGAAAGACTCGGATTCGGAGATAGATGGAGGGCTTGGATCAAAGGATGTTTAAGTTCAGATCACTACTCAATCCTAATCAATGGTACAATAAATGATTTCTTCCTGGCCAGGAGAGGAATTATTCAAGGTGACCCCCTATCCCCATTTTTTTTACCCTAGTGGCAGAAGTGTTAAGTAGAAAGGTGGCAAAAGTTGATGCTCAAGGCCTCACCAGAGGGTGGATGGTAAGTAGAAACCGAGTGATTGTTACCCATCTCCAATTTGCAGATGACACCATATTTTTTTGTAAAGGAAACAATGAGGACTTGGTGGAAAATTTGAGGTTGCTACAAAATAATTTTGTGGGAGTAACAAGGTTGAGGATAAATTGGACCAAAAGTGGAATTGTAGGGGTCAATTTGGAGGAAGGAGAACTAATAAGATTTGCGGACATTTTGGGGTGTGAGATCAGAAGCTGGCCTATTAGTTACCTAGGTTTATCCTTGGGAGGAAATCCCAAATCAGCTGGTTTCTGGAAACCAGTGTTAGAAAGGTTTGATAGGAAGTTAGCCCTTTGGAAGAGGAGTTACATTTCTTTGGGTGGAAGAATAACCTTGATTAGAGCCACTCTGCCAAACCTCCCCACCTATTTCCTTTCAACTTTTAGAATCCCTTCCAAGGTAGCAAAGTGCTTAGAGAAGTATATGAGAGATTTCCTATGGGGCCCAGGAGAGGAAGGGAAGGATCACTTGATCAAGTGAGAGCAAGTTAGTAAACCCAAGGAACAAGGGGGTTTGGGAATTGGGAACATCCTTTTAAGGAACACAGCTCTACTTGGTAAGTGGCTTTGGAGGTTTCCCTTTGAGGGCGACAAATTGTGGCACAAAGTGATTGAGAGCATTCATGGGGTGGCTGGAAATGGCTGAGATGCAATAGTTTCCCTCACAAGTCTTCAGCTTCTCCTYGGAAAGCAATTCATGAAATCTACCATACTTTCCTCAATTCCATCTGGTTCGATGTGGGACAAGGTAATAGAATTCTGTTTTGGGAAGATCTATGGGTAGGGGAAACCCCACTAAAAGACCAATTCCCTTATCTCTTTGCGCTATCTAACCTTAAGGAGGAAGCTATGTCCATGTTGGGATCACCGTGTCCAACTGGTGTGAACTGGAATTTGGACTTTAGAAGGGGCTAAGGGAGAATGAGTGTGAATCCTTAATCCGTTTGTTGGACCTCTTAGGGTACTTGGACCCTTCATTGCAAGACTCTAGAATCTGGGTAGGCTCTCTAGATGGCCTCTTTTCTTGCTCCTCTTTCTTCAAAGTACTTGTTTCCCCCAACCCTCTAGGTGGCATTTTTCCTATGAAAGAAATTTGGTACAAGCCTATTCCCCCGAAGATCCAAGCTTTCTGCTGGGAAGTATTCGTTAGTAAGGTAAACACTTGTGATATGCTGCAGAAAAGAAGGCTATATATTTGCCTTTCTCCTCATGTGTGTTCACTGTGCAAGGAAAGTGGTGAGACTCTTTCTCATTTAATGATATCCTGTTCTTTTGTGCATCGAATTTGGGAATTCTTTTGTACTCTCTTTGGCTGCAGGCGGGTTCCCCCTCAAGATGTGCAGGACTCTTCAACCATGATTTCTTGAGACAAAGAAAGAAAAGAGGGATGGTAATGTGGAAAGCAACAAAGGCAGCAATTTACTGGGTAACATGGGAAGAGAGGACCAACAGAATCTTCTTGGAGAAAAGTAGAACAATAGAGGAAGTGATTGATAGTATAAAGGTGAAAGTAGCCCATTGGGTAAAACCCTTGGACTGCTTTCAAGTCTTTTCAGCCGCAGATATTCTAAGAACATGGTCCGAAGTAGCACAATCTTCAAGAGTAAGAGATAAAGTAAGGCTGGAGTGGAAACCACCTGAAGGCAATAAAGTAAAGCTGAATTTTGATGGGTGCTCAAATGGAAATCCAGGCATCTCAGGAATAGGAGGAGTATTAAGAAACTCTGACAAGAGGATATTGGGTATGTTCTCAGGACCGATTGGCAATGGAAACTCGCTGAAGGCTGAACTATTGGCATTACTACAAGGGTTAAAGCTAGACAAACAACTAGGATGCAGACATGTTGAAGTGGAAGGGGACTCAAAAGTAGTAATTTCATGGGCAACAAATAGCAGCCACACCCCATGGACGTTTAAACATGTGATTAGGGAAGTGGAGAAGATTGAAAAGGAGGTTGAGGCTGAATTTAAATAGGTCCGAAGAAGTGCAAATGGGATAGCTGATGGATTAGCAAAACAAGAGGCATTGAGACAGCAATTATTTTGGGCTACACTGTAATGAGGGGTGAATAGAGTGATTAAAGGGGATCAGCAGTCCCATCATCAAGTTGTATAAACTGCTTACAATCTGAATTTTAATAAAATACATATTTACTAATCAAAAAAAAAAAAAAAAGAGAATGGGAGAAGCTCAGAATAAGGTCTAGCTATATATTCATAAATAAAAGAGAGTACAAAGACAAGTATGCCCTTAGTAAGTCGGCTACTTGTGAGAACTTAAAAACACTCTTAACATAAAAACATAAACTAATGGGCCTAAGGCCCAATAACTCACTAACTATGCTATGTAAATAAAAAGCATGTTATATCAGCCCAAAACTCAACACTCCCCCTCAAGTTGGGAATAAATGTTACACATTCCCAACTTGCGTACATCATGCTCCAGCTTGTTTCTTGCAGCTCCTTTTGTAAGAACATCAGTAAGCTACAAGTCAGATTCAACATATGGCAAGCAAACTTCTCCGGATGTCACCCTTTCCCTTATAAAGTGTTTATCCATTGGCAAAAGGAGAAAATACAAGGTTTGAGATTCTCCAAGTATGTACTTCTCTCTCCAGGGTCTCCACTAGTCCACTTTCTCTTTTTATTCATCTAAATCAGACCTAGTTTAGATGAAGCAGTTTTATTTCACCCTCTTATTCCAAACAATTGAGGTTACAAATCGGGCTTCTAAGCCATTTCACATGATTGGAGCTACCACCTCTTACCATGAACCTTGATTCACGTTACCCATTTTGTTATTCAAAAGTTAGGATTCAAATTGCAATGAAAATTTAAACAATATGACAGTACTAATGAGTATTCCCAAGCTCTGGTTTTTTTATTCTCTTTTTTTGTTTTTGTGATTCTTCCTCAAGTGAAGTAAAAACTGAAACATATCTAAACATATAAAAACATGTAAAAACTTGTTTCGAGGGAAGACTCGCAACTAAACTTGACATAAACTATAAGCTAGGACTTAATGATAATTTCCCCAGTTTAGTGAGTTTACCCAGTGCATGGAGGTCCAGTGCTATTGTCTGAACAATTAAAACTCCCCCGAGATACATAAACTTGCCTGGAAATCAAATGATATGAAATTGATATTTGAAATGGAATTATCAAAATAGGCTTTAGGTGTACATAAAAGGAAAGCATCACAAAATAACCCTTTACCGGTGGACCTTCACTGTTTTATTTCGCAGGGTAATACGATGATGCACCTCAGATAGTTCAGGATCCAATGCAGGCTGTGAAATCTCCAAACCTTCAGATATCATTATCTCCAAGAACCTGAAAAGCTAACCAATGGAGAACTCTAGCAGAAATTGATGCAAAAATTTATGGTGAAAAAAATAAACACTACAAGAATATGAACAAGGTAATACTATCATCAGAAGGAAGGATAACTGGAAAAAACAAATTTCAAGTCTTCAACTGTACAGTGAAGTCAGGAACACAGAAACCTCCAATATTTGTATTTTGAAAATGCAAGTAGAAACAAGATCACAAAAATTAGAGATCATATTTCTAATTGAGAACATATCCATCTTCACTCAATTTCACATCTTTACATGTTGCACTAGATAAGTGGGAATTACAATGTTATTGTAGAGATACTGAACCGAATGCACCTTAGTTCTTTTCTTCTCTTTATCCCATACTTCACTCCAGGTGGAGGGGTTGCCACAGTAAAATTTTTATTAAACAATGGGTAAAATATAAAAACCTCCCCTGTAATACAGTCAATCAACAGTCCATCAATCGGCTGAACAGTTAATCAATAAACAGCCAATCAGTAGGGCAGTCGAACAGTAGATGACCAGAACCTCTTTTAACTTCAGATGATAGTCTCTCTGTAAACCATAACTCCCTCTACGAACCTCAAATGATAGCCTCTCTACAGTCGAGCAGACAAGGGGTGCAACTTCTGGGCTGGAAGATGAAAAGTCTCTGTAACTTCTGGGTTGAACTGAGTACACCAGATTAGCAGTTCGATGGAGACAGCTCTGGAAGATGAAAAGTCTATAACTTCTGGATCGAACTGAATACAACAGCTTAGCATTTCGAGGGATGCAGCTCTAGGAGATGGAGAGACCATCTACACGACATTGAATAGTAGGTTTGCTTGACACCACCCTTCAGACCTGGACGACTTGCTTTGATACCATGTTGAGCAAGAGCAAGAGAAGAGAGGAGAGTCAAGTGGACTGAAAACCCTCCAGAATACAGGGGGCGAGTGTAAGAGATATTATTTATACTGGCCCAGTCATATAATATAAAAATGGGAGAAATTACAACAGTACCCTTGCGGTACTAAACCTGAGTACACAAAACAACTGTCAACACCTTTCATTTCTTTCCCATACACTCCTGGAGGTAGAGACATATAGACCTCTTCATGCAGTTCTCCATTCAAAAAGGCATTTTTAACATCAAACTGGTGTAGGGGCCAGTCAAAAGTAGCTGCTAGAGAAAGTAAAGCCCTGACTTAAGTCATCTTAGCTACAGGAGCAAATGTCTCAAGATAGTCAATGCCATACATTTGGGTGTAACCCTTAGCAACCAACCGAGCCTTAAACCTCTCAACAGAGCCAT